ATATATTACTGTAGAGTCATGAAAGAGGAAATAACTGTCCTGTCAGCTGAGCAAGTAAATAGCTTCTCAGTAGAATAGGGAGATCATACTTGTTTGTTAATAACAGCTACTGAACCTGAGTGCCTTTCAAAGGCAGTTGCCTTTCTGAGCCTAGCTCGCTGTGGTCTTGCCCTCCCTCTTTGCAAGCTTGTAAGGAATTGGAATATTTAAGTGGATTATTTTGCCTTAAATAGAAGGGGAACTGCATTCCTCCTGCGTGATGCACCTCTGGTCACTGCTTTTTATGTTTCTTGACACAAGGAGCAGGTCAAGCATGGTTTGACTTTGTTTAGCATTTCTGTTACTGAAATGCAATGCACTGTTGAAGTGATTAATCTCCAAAGATATAAATTTTCCTTGCTTCTACATATTGACCACACTAATTCAAAATTATTACTGCTTCCGTTATAGGAAAAAAGAGTAGAACTGCCAGTGACAGTAGACTGTACCAGCAGACATGTGCAGAAAGTACTGCAAGTGCAGACCTATTCGAGTGTAGTCTAAACTGAGGTGAATCTGGCTTCTAGTGGTCCTGTCCTTCCTCCTTTTCCTCAGCCATGATTTCCCACCCTTTCCTTTTGGCTGAGCAAGTCTGGAATTTATCTTATGCACAACAACCTGGCTTTGGAATCCAGCTGAAAGTTAATGCTACCCAAAAACTGGTAGTTTGCATCCTGGTTACAGTCTGCATCTGGTTCTACTTGACCAGGATCCAGTGAGGGGGTCTGCTTTTCTGGGTTTTTTTTTGGTTGGGTGGTTGTGTGTGGTTTTTTTTTTGTTTGTTTTTTTTTGTGTGTGTGGGGTTTTTTTTTTTAATTATTATTATTTTTACTTTCTGGCCCTAACGCTGTCAATATTCTTCAGTGAAACAGCTGTTATGGAAAGTGTTCTTGTCACCTGGTCAAAAGAAAAGGGAGAGAAATTCCCAAGATATTGTACAGGTTCTCAGCGTGCTTTCTGGGCCAGTATTGAAGGAATTTGGAGCATGTGAGTTTAACTACATGGCTCCTGTGAAGTGTGATTACTGTTATCTGAGATGTCTTTGTAAATTCATGAATAGCATGCAATCTAGATTAAAACCAAATCAGCATGTGTGTAGAGTATGTTTTTTCCAGAGTTTACAGACTGGGAGGAGTGTACATACACTATGAAAGGTCAGATCTACCCTCCACAATTAAGGTCCCTGATTTTCAGGATACTTTAATGCAACACGTGTTGATGAGCAAGTGTTGGAAATTCTTGAAATTTGTAGGAGATAGTACCCGGGCAAGAAGTTAAGTGAGGCAACTAGGAAAGATGCCCTTCTAGACTTGCTATTTGTGAATAGAGAAGGACTTGTGGGGCATTGTGATGGTAGGTGGTGGCCTTGACCACAGTGATCATGAAATGGTTGAGTGTAATGAGAAAAAAGGACAGCAGAGTTGCTAGTCTGGACTTCAGGAGATCAAACCTCAAACTATTCAGGGAGCTATATAGCAGATTACTGTGGGAATCTGCTTTTGAGGGTTTAGGAGTCCACATGTGCTGGTCAGTCTTTAAGAATCACCTCTTAGAAGCACAGGAACAGTCAATACCACTGTGTTGTAAGTGAAGGAAGCAGGGTAGACCAGCTTGACTGAAAAATGAACTCCTTATGGAGCTCAACAGGAAAAAGGAGTTGTATGATCTCTAGAAGTGAGGTCAGGCTTTGCAGGAAGAATGCAAAGCTGTGGTTCATTTTTGCAGGCCAAAGCATAATTAGAGCTGAAACTGGCCAGTGTTGTTTCAGATAACAAGAAGGGCTTTTTAAAGTATGTTAGTAGCAAGAAGAGGTCTAAAGAAAATATTGGATTGATACATGTTGAAAATGGTCATCTGACCAGGGATGAAGAAAAAGTGGAGGCATTCAGTACATTTTTTTGTCTCAGTCTTTAATAATCCTGATAGACCTTGGGCTGCCCAGTCCCCTGAATTGGAGGATCACAAGTGTGTGAACAGTGACTTTCCATTTGTGAACACTGAAATTTTAGGGGACCGGCTGTATCAGCTGAATGTTCACAAGTCCATGGAGCCTGATGGGATTCATCCCAGAGTTCTGAAGAAGCTAGCAGATGTTATGGTAGGGCCCCTCTCAATCATCTACCAAAGGTCGTGGGAGTGTAGGGAGGTCCCTGCAGACTGAAAGCTGGCCAGTGTTATTCCAGTTTACAAGAAGGGTGTGAAGGAAGATCCAGGGAACTGCAGACCTGTTTAGACTAACGTCAGTTCCTGGAAAAATTATGGAGAAGGTTATACTGGGTGAAAGGCATTTAAAGATAATGCAGTCGGACATGAGGCATGGTCAACATGGGTTCACAAAGGGAGAGTCCTGTTTAACTACTTTGATTTCCTTCTGTGATAAGATCACCCTGGATAAAGGGAAGGTGGTGAACGTAGTTTTTTTGGACTTTAGTGAAGCTTTTGATTGTGTGATTTAGTGAAGCTCAGCTTGTTCTGAGCAAGTTGTCCATCTGTGGGAGGAGTGGATTCATTGGTACGCTGTGTGAAGAACTGGCTGAAAGCTCAAAAGGTTGCAGTGAATAGGATTACACCTGGCTGGTGACTGGTCACCAGCAACGTTCATCAGCAGTCTGGATGCAGGAGTTGAATGCACCATTAGCAAGTTTGCTGGTGATACCAAACTGGGAGTTGCTGTTGACTCTCTTGAGGGACAGTGGGCCTTGCAGAGATCTAGGTGAGTTGGAGCATTAGGCTGTGATTAATAGGATGAAAATTAACAAGTCCAAATGCTGGATTCTGCACCTAGGGGTAATGCTGGGACAACTATAAACTGGGAGACGAGTGACTGGAGAGCAGCCCTGCAGAAAGGGACCTGGTCAGGTGACAGGTCAATACGAGTCAGCAGTGTGCCTTGGCAGCCCAGAGAGCAAACAGCACCCTGGGGTGCATCAAGCACAACTCAACCCAGGCAGTCAAAAGGGGTGATTATCGCAATGTATTCAGCGTTGGTGCAGTCTCACCTTGAATACTGTGTGCAGTTCTGGGCAGCATAATTTAAGAAAAATGTGAAGGTCCTTCATTGTGTCAGGAGGAGGGCAGGAAAGCTGGTGAAAGGGCTGTGAGGAGCAGCTGAGGACTTTAGGCTTGTCTAGTTTGGAGAGAAGGAGGCTGAGGGGTGACCTCATGGCTCTCTGCAGCTTCCTGAGGAGGGGATGTGAAGAGAGGGAGGTGTGTTGGTCTCTTCTCCCTGGTATCCAGTGACCAGGACACATGGGAATAGCTCAAAGCTGTACCCATCACAGGAGGTTTAGTCTGGACATTAGGAGGCATTTCTTTACTGAGAAGGTGGTCAAACGCTGGAACAGGCATTCTAGAGAGGTGGTCGATGCCCCAAGCCTGTCAGTGTTTAAGAGGCATTTGGACAATGCCCTTAATAACATGCTTTAACTTTTGGTCAGCCCTGAACTGGTCAGGCAGCTAGACTAGATGATAATTGTTGGTTTCTTCCAACTGAAATAGCCTATTCTATTCTAACACACTGGAAATTTCTGTCATGATCTGGAAGTTTAAAAATTCCGGAAATTTATGACACTAAACATGCAAGTAATAAAGTCACACACTAAAAGCCCAGAAGGCATGCATCTACCCAACTCCCTCAGGAACTTGGCTGATCCCTTTTCTTTAGACCACGTTTCTTGACTGATTCGTCTTTCTTTTCTTATGCTCTTTCCTGCTGTTTTCTCTTATTAATGAGCTCTCCCACCTGCCTTGCTCCCTAAAACACTTCAGCACTTGACCATCTGTCACTGCTGCTGTGCATCCTTACTGTTATAAGAGAAAGTATTAACCTTGAGCTGGAGTGTGTGATCTGTGAGAAGTAGCTTAGAAACTGGCAAATGAAACAGTATTACAAATAACTGGCTTTACACATTGCATGTAAAACAGCAAGAAACGTGGAGGCTGCTGGGTCTAAATGCTCACTCTGTAAGTACAGTTCTGAGAAAAAGATGTATCCAGTAAATCTGCAGAGGTGTTCAGTGTAACACATGGATCCGTGCATGTTCGGGGGCAGTGAGCTTCATACCCTGCATTTGATTTAGGAGTTGACCTCAATTATTAGCTGCAGCTTTATATGAAGCTTTTGCAGATCACTTTGCAAATAAAAATTTGTAAAATGGCTGCACAAATATGGTGAGACTAAATGTATTTTTCAAGAAAGATTATTTTTGGTTTGCTTAAGACACTTTAGTTGAATCAGCAGAAAGGCTTTTTGACTTTCTCTGTGTAATTATAAGCTGAAATTCTAAATCAGCTGCTTAGTCATGGTAAATTATGAAAATTATGCTGTTCATTGGCAAGCTGTTGTTATAATAAACATATTTATTGGTGTTTTTTTTCTCTTAAAGGATGTTTCCATTGAAACAAAAAGCTGAATAGTAACTTAAGCTGCAAGAACCCTTGTTTTTCAAAATACCTGTCATTGTATAGGATGAGTAAACATGACAGGTGTTCAGAGTTTTTGACAAATTAATTTGATCCAAGTCAATTTCAGTGTTTTATAAAACTCAAACCCAAGCTGAATCCAGTCTGTTAAAACTACAAAGCAAAATGTTGCAGTTTTCCATGGGAAGGTACCTATATGCTGTCAGGTTAGACCTCCAAGTGTAGGTGATCTTCATGTCCAAACTTGTCCTTAGAGTCTGAGTCTATGCATGTAATGGAAAAGATGCATTGAACCTGTAAGTGCTGATTGTGTAAATCCAGTGGGATGAAGAACAGCTGGAGATAAGGGAGCTCTGCTTCCTTGGCATTTAAGGAAGACTAGAGATAGACAACCACTGAAGAAGTCTGTTCTTAATGGGATGAAAGAAAGTCAGTGGTCCTGCCATGGCCATCCTGACATATGACCTGACAAAGTGTGTGATAATTCTGATATATTAATGATATTTTTTGTTGGGGGGGGGATGATTATGTTTTAACAGTTTCATTCCTTGGCTCCAATGTACTACCGAGGTTCAGCAGCAGCTGTGATAGTTTATGATATCACCAAACAGGTAAGACCTCCTGTATATTTTTTGCCTGTGTTAGCTCCTCTGCTTGGGCCAGAGTTGGAGTTAAAACCTGCAACTGCAGAAGTAGTTATATGTTAATTCCTGTTCATGTCAGTGGGGTTTATATGTGTGGGTAGTTTGTGTAGATTTGGCTGGAGGAGTCCTGCTGCCTTAAAAAAAAAAAGAAGTCCTTCTTCTGTATTTTTTAAACTTCATCTAAACAAAAGGTTGGTGATTTCGTTTTGTCAAAGTTTCTTTGAATTTCCCCTGGCTAAGCAGACAGGATAATATCCTGCAATACCCCCTCCCACCACTACTACTTATGTTCTCTGTGGAATTGAGTTTTTGCCACAAAAAGCAGCTGGCTGCTTTATCAACTGAACAGAAATTCAGTTGTTTGCATATTACTGGTTTTAAACCTAATTATTTTTAACTAATCATATCATTTCATGTTTGCATTGCACGACTCGTATCTTAACTTTGAAAGCAGTAATGAAGTTATAAGTCTCTGACCTTTGTTCTCAACATTATTCATCTGGAATGAAAATTGTATTTTCAGAACCTAAACTGCTCTGACTCGTTTCTTGGGCAGAGGAGGCTAAGAGGTTCTAGCTGAATGCCTCTTCCACTGCTTTTGAAAGAAACCCCTGCTGGTAAAGCTGAGTTAGAGGAGACATTAATGGATGGATGGTCATGACAGTTCACTAGCATTTTATTCCTTTCCTTCCAATTGAATTATTTACTACTAGGTTCAGAAGGCTGGGTTGATTCTCCAGTGCATTAGTGTAATGATCTGTGGCTGATGATGGTGGCCACTGTTGCACAGTGGTACTGTTCTCCTTTTCTAATTTGCCAAGAAAAGATGAGGAAGAGTGAATCGTGCTGGATTGATGCTTATTTTGAATTTGAATATCTTACAGTTGATCTTTTAATGCATTGTAAGAATAGAATTTTGTTTTGCTAGCCTTTCTTCAAGATTATGTGAAACAGCTCTCAGAATAAAGAGAGGAAAAATAGGAGAGGAAGGTCAATGTGTATTTCACTTTCTGATGCTTAATATTCAGCGTTGATCATTTAAGCAGAATGGATGTGTTTTTCCCAAATGACTGATAGTGCTCTCCCTCCAGTGGTACTGATACAGCCATTGCTGATTTAGACACAACTCTTCTGTGCATTTCTGAAGGGGTAAAATGATTTATGATATATTTGGGAGCTCACTTTGAATTTCAGTAATAATTTCAACCATGTGTTATAATTAAAATCTTTAGGAACAAAATTGATTTTAATGCTATTAGTTCATTAGTGTAAAGGAATAGAAAATTTGCTATTAAAACGTAGGTAGCATCAAAAAATGTTTGAATTTTGCACTTGGAGGGGAACTGCCAGGTGAATTGTCACCTGTCTCTTTGGTTTCATAATGAATAAATAGAGGTTTACCAGGTCACAGATTTGGAAATGTGGGGGGGTGGGGGTGTCCCTGTGAAAGCTCTCCTGGATGTTACCAAAAATTATGACACTGGTTGAGATAGTAATCTACTAGGCAGAAGTTGAAATTAAACAAATTAAGATCACATTAAAAGTGAAGGAAACTAGCCACTAGCCAAACTTAAAAGAGCTGTGGTAGTTTCTTCATCACTGCAAATTTAAGGAAGATACTCAGTGCTGCTTTGGAGGGGAAAGCAAAGGGGGAAGAGTCCAAGTTCAAGAATTAATTTGAGGAAGTTGTATGACCTAAAGTTTGAAAAGTGGATTACATAGATACAGCAATCTTTTTCTGGTCTTTTGATCTATAGAATTATTACTGCATTAATACTGTCAAAGCTGTGTTCCTCTAACTCAAAAAAATAAGCAAATACATTAACAGAGACTAGGCTGTTAGCTTATTTGTTATTTCTCTGACTTAGGATTCATTTCATACTTTGAAGAAATGGGTGAAAGAACTAAAAGAACATGGTCCTGAAAACATTGTAATGGCCATCGCTGGAAACAAATGTGATCTTTCTGATATCAGGTAATACATCCTTTTTTGTTGTTGCTTTGATTACAGTAACGATATTGTTTCCTTCCTTCGGGTAACCAAGTTGTTCTGTTGTTCAAACAGTATATAATTTTGGTCAGCTGTATTGACTCTTTCCTAACACCAGTGGTTCTACCAATGTACGGTCTTACCACCAGCAGCACAACTTGAATTATGTACTTTTTTTAACCTCTCTTTTACTGCCCTTACTTCATATCTGTACAACCTACACCCTTTAGCTACTGAATCACTGGGAATGGAAAAGTAGTATATTTCTTTTTATTTCCATTCATGTTAAAAGATGCAGAATGCATTAAGTGACAAGCGAAATCAGCAGTGGAAAGCTAGAAGGATGGGCCTGAGGTAGAAGGATGTTATTCACAGAGAAGCTTTGAGAACTTGTGCTTTGCACTGTGCAACAACTTTTCTGGAAATGGAAGCACATTCTGTGCGATAGTGATCCTTTTTGTCAGTCCATGACTCTGCCGTTTCTTGCTTCATCTGTGAGTACAGACTCAAGGGCTGTATTTGATGCTTTCCTCTTAGGACCTCATAGGCTCTCGTGGTTGTTCAAATATGATCCCCCTGTTGTTTTATAATAATTACTTTGGCTCAGGTTCAGCAGAGCCCTGAAGCATGTGTGTAACTTCAAGTGAGTAATGTGGTGCTTTACTGAATCAAGGCACATACAAAGATTGGACCTGTGTGGTTTTTGGTTGTTTTGGTTTGTTGGTTTTGTTGTGGTTTTTTTTTTTGTCTTTTGTTCCTCCCCATCCCCCACCACTGTCAGCCACGAACCAACACAAAACTGTGAGACACTGCTATCTCTAAGACCTGATGCTAGAAGACTCCTGGCTTCTCTTGGGATAAGAACTGGGGAAGCAGGTAGTATATTGGCATTTCCTACATGATGTTGTGGTATGCTTGTCAACATGGTAAAAATGAGTCCTGTAAGACTAAACTAAAGGTTTCCAAATATGGAGTAGAAAAAAGAGGAAAGGATGATTATAAAAATAAAACCAAAAACGGGTTAGCACAAATCAGAGTTCTCAGCTGCCCTGAGAGTCACTTTAATTTTATTGCTCTAGTGTTCCCAGCAATACAATTGCCTGATTAAATCAAGGGTAATAAGTTTGAAGACTGTGACAAATGGCACCAATTGCAAATGAATCCATAAGCAGCCTTCCCCCTGCTTTTGGTAACATTTGCCATGGCAGCGAGCTTTTAAATGCTGTTCCACCAGAGACAGGTTAACTTGGGGACATGAAGAAAAGCCTGCACCCCAGTAATGTTGTGAGAATACTGGGTTTCTCACAGAGCAACTGTGCTCTTCCCATGATGTTATTCTCAAGCACTATCTGTTGTTTACTGATTGCTGATTGTCTGTTTCTTGCTCCTGTTCAGCCAGTACAGCTCTTCCATACACAAAATGTTCTGGAGGAGGCTTTTTTCTCCCCATAATTATGAATAGTTTTGAGAATATTTGTTTTATGCGGTTATTCTTTCTGCATTCTCCACCGTTTTTTCTTTCTAAAGTCAGTCAGTGATGTGCAGATAAAGAGATTTTGGTGGAAAAATAGCAGACTATCTCGTATGTGATATGTTTTCACAGTTTTTCCAGAAATCTCATTGTTTATGCAATACATGCAGCTGTATGCATTCTCTAGCTGCTTTATGTCTTCATATTTACTTCAGTAGAAATGATTTTAGGTGAAATGTGTCACCAATTTAGCAGATTGTTTCCATTGAGTAGAAAATACATGTGACTTCGGGCACGGAGAATTTAAAAATAAGATGATGTGAACACACAGGAGCAAGCTGCTGCTTCTGTGCATTTTTGGCATCTCTCTTTGTATTTGTAGAACTTTTGGCAGATGCTTTGCTGAATGAACATCAGAGACACAGCTGCATTTAAGACCAATGTGAATAGATACAAGCTGACCTGGTTCAAATTGATTTGATTCTGCTGTCTGTGACTGTGGGAGATAATGTAAAGGAGAATGAATGGAAGCAATAAGAACTGATTATCTTCCTTTGGGAAAAGACTGACACTATTTCTCATAATCATTGACCATGATGCCCTCCTCCTTTAGCATCTAAAATTTCGTTTTGAGCTACCAAGATGGATTTTGGGACACTTGGGGGTCATGCTGATTTTCTCAGTGCTGTTAATAGGCTATCAGCAGGTTTTTAGCACTCTGTTGAAGTAAATTTTTTTCTCTGCTTTGACGGAATTTCTACAGGTAGACAAGCAATTTTGTTTAGTATAAATCCTCACCTTTGTTACAGTACTGTCAATTCTAGTACTGTTGAGTATTTAGCATACTTTTAAGTAATAGTAATAGGCTTTTCCTTCTGATATGTGTCTTGTCCTTCTGACAGGAAATTAAAAAGTAGTTTCAAAGGCACGAGCTGAAACTTCAATGTTAAAATGTCATAAGTGTCCAAAATATTTTTTGAGCGTTACAGAAGTCCATAGTCATAACAGCAACTAAGAAGTATTTACTTCCCTAAAAATACAGTGCACCTTCTTAACAAATTGTGTTCACTGGAAGTTGCCAGATCTTTGGTTAAGAGAATTCAGCAGAACTTCATGCTCAGATCTTTCCTTGATGCATCCAGAATATTTCTTTATTCAGTGATTATTCAGAAAATCACAAGGGAGATTGAATCAATAGAATGATTTGGAAAGGATAAAATGAAATAATTGACATCTTTCAGAGAATAGGTATTCCTCTAACTTTCCCCATAACCTTGGAATAACACTTTCTCAGTATTTCACTGATGGTTCTTGCCTTCTCCTCTCTTTACCCCATCTCACATGTGTTTACCTCTTGACTTAAGAGTTCAAGCATTAGTGCTTTTTCTTTTTGACAAGGTAGCATCTTAACAATGTTGATATCCAGATTATGATAACTCCACTTAATGTATGCAGCCTTCTCGGTGCCGGCAGCACTGGATGGCATGATGCTTATTGCCCATGTGCTATGGACGTTTATTCCTTTAGAAATGTCATCAGAAAAGGCTGAGAAGTTTTGTGACACTTCCTTGGAATATTTTCATGTGCTGCTGTTTTCCCTTTTCCTTGATTCCTGAAGTTTGCTTTCTCATCTAAATTACAACAAGTTGAAAGTATTCATTGCATAACCTTATGCTCTCAAATTTCTTTACTGTTGTTTGAATACTATGTTACATAGTTAAGTTCCTTTTTTTCTTATCTCCTGACCCATCTGCAGATGGTGGTACCTTTCATAATAAAGGCCAAGGTTTCAGAAATAGGAAAGAGAATGCTGCCTCCCCTGTGGTAAAAAGACATGTAATACAAAGAAGCAAGTAATGGAAACAAGCTCTGAATCTAGATGCTGGAATTGCAGTCTAATTTTCTGAAAACTATTTATAATAAATAGGGCAATTATTCTGCCTCTCTGCATGTTTCCCATGAGCAGCAGATCTGATTTATTTAAAATACATACCTCCATAAACTGTGAAACTGCATTGCTGTGCTCCCGCCTAGGTACCTTCTGCTAAAGTCCAAGGCACTCATACTAGGAGGGAATTGTACTAGGAGTCTCTGGATTGGTACATCAAAGTTGGTGAAGGAGTTGGTGCAAATTCTTCATAGGCAGCAGACAGCTATAAAGCTACACAAAACACACCAGTTGATACATCGAACAACTAGAAGAAAAATGGTGCTTGCAGCCTGGTGTTTCAACATGTGCTCCCATGATTTGGTGTACCTTGGGTGCTTGTTAGAGTGTTCAGTCTCTGATTTTGAGCTGTTGCTCAAAGATCAGGAATAGCTGTGGTTATGGATAGCAGCGGACACTGGTAGATTCAGCTTTGCCACCTGGCTCAGGCAGATACAAGGTCAGCATGGGGCTTGCTTTGTGTCTGAAGCAGAGGTCTTTTGCATGTTATAAACTGCATTTACCAGCTTTTGGCATATTGAAGTATTGGCTACAAAATAAGGATGTTCTACCAGTGATTTTAAGGTGGTGTCCCTTTGGTGACATGGCACAGAAGGTGGTCGTCTTCCAATGAATCTGGTACTCCCAGATTGCTCTTGCCAGTGTGCTCAGAGTCAGTGCCTTTCATATTTCTTTCAGAATTGCTCTTGATTTCTTGCTGCTTGAAAACAAACATATGACGCTCTTATTGTTCTCTTCCACAACAGTCGTACTGTATCTTTTTTGAGCACTTGGTGTGCACCGTGCTGGTTGCTGCCTGGATCAGCAGAGTTATATATCTTCTCTCTAGTGTGTTAATGCTTTTCTTACCAGGGTAAAGTTTAAAAAAAAAAAAAAAAAAAAAAAAAGGCAAGCAAGTGGTCATTTAAATTACCATTCTTCTTTCAAGAAATGGCTTCAGCAGCAAGTCCAAGTAATGTGCAAGTAGATCATTGGTAAAACTTTGATATTTTGAGCCCCCACAATTTTTTTTTTAATTTGGTTTCTTTTATTTCTAAATCTAAAAAATTTTTTTTTGGTAGGGAAGTTCCTGTGAAGGATGCCAAAGAGTATGCAGAATCTATAGGTGCAATAGTTGTTGAAACCAGCGCAAAGAATGCTGTTAACATTGAAGAACTTTTTCAAGGAATAAGTAAGTAAACGCTCTATTTGTTTGTTTGTTTGTTTAGTTATTTAATTGTGATGTTTTGGAGGTCTTTTGAAAATACCTGTCTGTTTCTGGTGTAAAAAAATTCTTTCCCATGGACAACAAGAAATCCAGTAGGGGTTGTAGTATGGCTGGTGTTTACACAGTTCTATGCTAAGAATGACTGAATATACCAGAGCAAAACATAGTAGATACAGGGTAAGCCTGTTCCTTCTAAATATGTATATAAATCCTGACCTGGGTCACATCATGTATTTCAGACCAAGCCTGCTGTAGAGGCAATACTGCTGATCTTATCATCATGTTAATAAAAACTTAAATGTTGAGAAATGTGTCTGGAAGACTATGATAAGTAGAAAACAGTCATTGCGGAGGAATCCATTTAAAAAAAATATTTTCTCTCCAGGTCTTTTAAACAAGATGAGACTGACATTCCTCATAAGGAGAAGAAAAAATGTCTTGTTCAGTTTGTCTTCTAGGGGTTACAGTTTTGGCCTCTGGCTGCAAGTGTGAAGGACCTTGCAGGCTGGAAGAGAACTCGGGAGATCTTCAGTACAACTTCCCACTCAAAACAGACTTGATAGTGAATTCAGACCAGGTTGCTCAGGCCATCGTCTGGCAGGGCCCAAGAGTAGAGGTTCCACAACCTCTCTGGACAGCCGAGTGCAGTGTTTAAATAGTCCTCACAGCGTCACCTCCCCCGTGTATCAAGTCACAACCTCTCCTGATTCAATTCACGGTCACCATCGCTCATTGTTCTGGATGCATCTCAGTAAAGAGCGAGGCTCTGTGTTCTTATTGGTAGTGACAGGCAGCTTTGCGGTCCCCCAAAGCCATCTTGTCTCCAGGCTGAACAGGCCCCATTTCCTCAGCCTCTCCTCACAGGGCAAGTGCTCTAGCCACCTGACTGTCTTGGAGGCCCTCCTCTGAACTTGTGCCAGTTTGCCAACATTTTTCTTGTATCATGAGGCCCAAAACTGGATGCATTACAGCTTGTGTTAGACTGTATCTAGAAGGGGATAACCACTTCACCTGACCTACTGGCTTGGCTCTTGTTGTATGATTTAGGATGCTGTTGGCCATCTTTCCTGCTGGGGTATGGTGCTGGTTTGTGCTCAGCTTACTGCCCTCGGGTCATCTTTGGAAAAGCTGCCTCCCAGGCAGCCAGTTCCCAGCACCTCTCATAGCCAAGGCCTCTTCCCACAAGCAGGGCTTGGCATTTATTGTTTCTGAACCACATAAGGCTCCTGTTGGCCCATTCCTCCTTCCAGCTGTTTTGCTGAGTAAGGATACCGATTAAACTTGGACACCAGAGTGAAAAGAGTAGGTGTATTTTACTAATGATAACTAAATAACGGAGTAATACAGAAAACATGCAGTAAGGAAAGACAGAATAATGCACTTAAAGCAACAAACAGGAAAATACAGGGTGATGCATCAAATCATTACTACCTGAGAGAGAGAATAGTGATAAAGAAAGATCCATCACCACTTGCACACGTTCCCATCACCCAGACCCGCAGTGGCCGGGGAGCCCCAGTTACAGCGAGGGTTTGGGGAGCCTGTCCCGGCAAGGGGGAAATCCTACGCGGGGCGTCCACCCGTAGGTGAGGCGTCCAAAGTCACTGCAAACGGGCCCAGCCTTATATACCAGAGATCAACAAGCTGGAATAGCTGGCACCTTTGTTTTGAGCAGAAAATTTCAGGTTTCATTCTCCTGTTGGATTCCACCCAAAGCCTGGCCAGGGCTTGGCGGGGGAGACCAAGGGAGTTTCTAACAAGGCCAAATACTTGGGTTCTCAGCCTTGAACAAGGCTGAGAAATGAAAGTAGGATACATTCTCTTGGCCTTTCATCCTCACTACTGATTATATTCTAAGCTGCATCTTTCACTAGTGAGTTTACAAATTTTGTTAAGGATTATGCGCTAATTTAGCAGCTTCAGCTTGGGGCCTGTTGTTCAGGCTTCAGTACTTCGACACTTTAGCACTTCTTACATCAGCATAGGTGGGTTGTTATAACTTAGTACAATACCTGCTACCACAATGTTTATCAGTTATAAAATATACAGGATTCATCTATAGGTCAGCTCTGGCTTGGGTCTGTTGGCCCTATGAACAGCAGCCCTGCCCTCTAGGGTACTGAATGCACCTCTGAGTTGATTATCATCTGAGAGCTGAAGTGGGTACATTTTTTTTTTTCCTCCTTCAGGCCACTGATAAAAGGTATTAAGCAAGGTACTCCACTTGTAACTGTCCTACAGGTAGATACATACTGTTAACCACTGGCCTTTTAAGTCTGATGATTCAGCCAATTTTTCACACTGCTAACAGTCAGCCTGTCTATGGTATAACAACCCAACTTGGATATACCAGGATGCTGTAGGATAAGGTATTGAAATCCTTGCTAAAGTCAAGGTGGACAACATCCAGTGCTCTCCCTCAATCGCAGATCCAGTCATACTGTCATTTAGGGTAACCAGGTTGGTTGGACATGGTTTACACTTGGTAAGTCCATGCTCACTGGTCCCTGTCACCTTCTTGACCTTCATGTGCTCCGAAGCATCTTCTGAGAGGATTTGCTCTGTGGTTTTCTTAGGAAGCAGAGTAAGGCTAACCAGCTTGTAGATTCATGGCTTATTACTACCCTTTTTGAAGACAGATACAACATTCACCTTTCCTCAGTCACAGGGGACCTCTCCCATTTTCCACAACCTTTCAAAAATGATAGGGATAATAAAAACCAGCCTTGTAGTGACATTGGCTTGCTCCCTCTTCATCCTCAGATTTGTATGGGTTGAGATTTAAGAACTCCATGACGTGATCCTCTTCCATTACTGGTGGTTCCTTCTTTTCTGAATCCTGTTTTGGGGCACAGAGGCCTAGGAGACAGCATGTTTAGAAACTCAACTTTGTTTCCCTAAGCATTTTATTTTATTTCATATATTCATAATCAGCTCATATTATCTACCACACTTTGCCTGAGACAGGGCCTGTTCAAGTGTTTACTTTGCTTGCATGGGATGTATTTGAAATGGTTAATAAGAAATGATATTCCTAGAATACGCTACCTTTCTTTTGCCTCCTTTAATAAAGGAGGAGTGTGTAACATGGCTGTCTGGAGGAACTGGTTCTTCCCTGTGATAATTTACTTGATTGTCTGCGTCTGATGGTTGTGAATGTTCTCGCGGAGGAACTCATCCTTGCCACGTAATTAGATAATTAGTTTCCGTTTTTGATAGGCAGTGCTGCAGCTGGCAGCATACACTGTCCCTAATAATGGATATAATAGACGAGGAAAATCAGCTAAATTAAGTTTAGTATGAACTAGATACCCAGGCAAGTGCACGTAATTCCACAGGCAATTATTTCTATATATAGAAATATTTAGTCTCGGTGGATGTACTTGTGACCTTATCAAGTAGTCAGCGGAGAGAAAGAAGAGAGTTGATAGTGGATGTTTATAGAAATATAGTGGAAACCAAGTGAAAAATGCTTAATTAGCAGGACAGTTAATTAATACGATTGTGACAGGGCGGAGGGTGTGGATAACTTTCTGATGTTTTACACTTTGGACTTTGTGCAATTTCCAAAAAAGTCTGTCTATGCCCAAGTTACATGGCAGCATTTCTTCCTTTTCAAGTGTATGAAGTCCCTCTGAGGCTGTGTCTCCTACGCTGTTGACTAATTTTATTTGTGTGGTGCCCTGGAAGTCATGCTGCAGCTTTAGTTCTGCTTTCATGCTGCCTGAGAGTTTGTGTCCTTCTTGTTATGCTGCCGTAGAAGGGCATAGTCCAGCTCCCCAGCCTCTGAACAGGGAGACGGCAACTTCTGTTTACCTTGGATCTTGTAGGTGTATGTGTTACCTATTGTACAGCCTGGATTTGGAAAGATATTTCAACATGTGTGGAGAATTGCTCCATTAAAAACCTTGTGGAAATTGATAACCCAAACAGAAAGGCTAGACGACATTTTAATTTAGCTAAAACATTTACCTCCTGCTTGCTTATGCTTTTCATTTCCCAGGGGTATTTTAACATAATCATTTTTCCTTCCTAAGGTGTCTTAACAACTGTCTCTTTTCCAGGGAAAATGTTGTGAACAGAGTGAAATAGTATAATGGAAAAAACTTACTCAACGTAATGATATAAAGAAGGTGGAAAATAGAAGGGGAATGGGGATGTTTTGCTGACAACCAGATAAATCTTGGCAAAATTGTAGAGATTATAGACAGATCACTTCATTTCTGATGTTATTATATTACACTATTTTAAAAAAAAAATTAAAATCAGTTTCTCTCAGGATTTGAGGATTCGACTGCTTTGAGGGATGTCTTAATATCACAGTCTCAATACAAATCCATTGTCCTTAATTCTTCTCAACAAAATACAAGATGTGAAAGACTAGAATCAGTAAAAGTTTCTGATTTTTTGCTGATGGGGCAAGTCTGGCAGGAGAAGATCTCTGCAGTTGTACTCAGGCAAATGAGGCCGAGCACAAGAGTTGGCAAAGTCGGTGTTCTCCATGCTAGAGAGTTTTCACTGAGCTGCGTGATGGGATGCAGCTCCTGGCTGGCTGTTGTACCCCTGGGATTTCAGATGGCAAGCCACTGCACTTAACCCTGGTTACATTTAGCAGCGACTGACTGAAGACTTGCTGTGATTGTGAAACATCAATGGCTGTTGTATTTCTCTATAAACGAGAAAATAATATTTTTAGTACAGTTGTCTGTTCTGCACTTGGGCTAAATTTTTCCCACTGTCTGTCTTGAAAGGTTTTGTCATAAAAAGGGCTTAAGATTGTAGTGGTTTTTCATGTGTTACAGTAGTTCTTCTCTAATAGCTCCGTGTCCATAGGATCAAATGTTACTAATTTTGTATTCCTAGCCTTAGAAGAATAAGCACAGTGGCTCCTTGTCACTGGTTTATACTAAAGCAGCAGCAAAAATGCCAGGAATGTATTATACGATAGCAGTATAATACAGCAT